TCACTATTTCAAGGCAGTCTTTGCTCCTCATTGTTCCATCAAGAAACCCAGAAAGAGGGGGCAAGTAGGAGAGTCAGGAAAGAGACTTACGAGTATATCCAAGGATTCTCCTCTCTGCTGGCACCTCTTGGTCATTGGAGTGATGGAAGAGAGAGTGTGCAGGAAAGCTCAGGGAACCTGAGGCCCCAAAAGAGATAGGCTTCCTCAGTCTCTGATATGAGATAAAACTTCTCTTCAGCCATAATGTCAAGGGAGGGATGGAACAGGAAGTTGAGAAGTCACGTGTTTATCCAATGTAAGAAGTGCAGAGAGAACGAGAAGTAGAGTGACGCTATAAAGTCTTCAGGCCCACCCGCAGGATGTACTTCCTCCAGCTAGTCTCTGCCTTCTAAAGTTTCCATATCTTTCCCAAACGATGCCACCAACCAGGAACCAAGTATTAAAAGATGTAAGCCTATGAAAGATAGCTCTTATTCAAACCACTGCCTTCCACTTCCTCTCATAGGCCCATGGCCATATCATAATGCAGAATGCATTGAGTCTAACTTTAAAAGTCTCCATAATATTTAACAGTTTTAACACTGTTCTGTAGTACAAAATGCCTTCTGAAACTGAAAGCAATCTCTTGACTGTAACCCCCTATAAATGAAAAAACAAATTATATACTTCCAACATACAATTGTACAGAATATACATACCATTCCTTGGGTCGGGGTGAGTGGATAGAGGCACATGGAAAAATACTGGACTAAAACAAGACCCATCAAGGAAAACACCAGATCTTGTTGCTCAGTGTCTGGTATCTGGGTATTTTGTTCCCAAAGGATTTAGATAACCCAGCCTACTCCCCCAAGCTTTGCCCTTTGCCACATGTATCTCACTCCAATTGGTTTGATTCTCTGTATACAACTCTCCTCAACAGATGTTTCACAGCTGTGTCATTTCCAAAGTCTTGAGGTCTCCATAGCAACTCAGGCTACACTTTTATACTGTCATACAATGGCCTCCCAGGCTTCCCTGCCTCTCGAGGCTGTCTTCCAATTATAGAACCACACTCCTGTTACCAGTTTCTGTATGAGTTAATTTTCTTTGGCGTGATAAAATATCACAATCAAAAGTGACTTTCAGAAGAAAATTTATTTGACTTATGGTTCTGGGCTGGGGTAAGGGTCCTTAATGGCAGGGGAGGCATGGAAGCAGGTGGCCAGATCAAAACACTGAGAGATCACATCTTTATCTGCATGCAGGAAGCAGAGAGCAAATTGGAAGTGGAGCGATACTATAAACCCTCAAAGTCTATCTACTGATATACTTCCTCCAGCAAACATCAACCTCCTAAAGGTTCTATAACTTTCCTATAATAGTGCCACCAACTGGAACCCAAGTATTCAAATACCTGATCCATTTTTTTGTTTTTGTTTTTTGGGGGGTTTTTTTTGTTTTTTAATTTTTTATTTAACTTTTATTAATTACACTTTATTCATCTTGTATCCCCCCATAAGCCCCTCCCTCCTCCCTTCCCGGTCCCACCCTCCCCCCCTTTCTGCATGCATGCCCCTCCCCAAGTCCACTGATAGGGGAGGTCCTCCTCTCCTTCTTTCTGATCTTAGTCTATCAGTTCTCATCAAAAGTGGCTGCATTGTCAGGGTTCTAGGTTATCTCCATGAATAGTCCTTGGTTGGAGAATGAGTCTCTGGAAAGTTCCCTCTGTTCAAATTTTCTTCTTCTGTTGCTCTCCTTGTGGGGTTCCTGTCCTTCACTTTTTGATCCCAGCCATCATTAGACAGTTTGGTTTTGCTCACAGTTGGAGGGTGCAGTTCACCCTGGCAGGGGCGGTACCGTAGGAGGATAGTGGAATGGTTGAGCACATTGCCTCCACGGTTAGGAAGCAGGGAGTGATGGCTGCTAGTGCTCAGCCGACTTTCTCCTTCTGATTACGGCCAGTCTGATGTCACCTATATTCAGGATAAGCCTTCCTAGCTCAGTTACCTTTCTAGACAACCTCTTTCATATAAATCCTTTAAAAAAAACTACTTATTTATTTATGTGTGTGCATATATGCATGCACATGCACTCATGTACAGGTGCCTGTAGAGGTCAGAAGTGGGCATAGGGATATCTTCAGGGAGAAAGCTAGTCACCTAGCTTCAGTATCAAGAAGCCCTGAGTAGTCCTCAGCTACAGGTTATGGATGGTACAGGAGCTGGGGCAAGCTGCATTTCCCACCACAGCTGAGCCCCATGCAAGAGCTCACTGTGACTCACTGGGTCATGGGTTCTTCAAATGAAGGATTAAAGCAGAAGTGAAACACACCCCTGCGTGAGAATACAGAAACCCCAAATCCTACTCAAAGGACACAATTTTCAGGGCCAGCATCTTCATCCTGGAATTTCTTGCTTAGCACAGAGTAGATGTGCCAGAGACAAGAAGGGAAGGGGGCAGGGGTAGGCTTTTCATTCCTAAATCTGAGAAAGAAGCATATTTGACAAGGAGGCTCCATATTCAAATTCATAGTCCATTCCCTTGGTGTGTGAACTCGGTCAGAGGCTTGTCCAGTGAGTCTTGGTCACATCACCTGTGCGTTGGGGGTGGAGATAACTGCCTGTTAGGTGCTGGGAAGTTCTGCTCTTACTTTCTATAGCACCTTAAAAAAGTGATGGCTCTGCCTTAAAGAGCAGACCTGGGCTCAGAGAGGTACACTGAATTACACAGGATCTCTCAGCTAGGAAAGATAGGCCTAGCTGACCACAAAGGCTGTGTTCTACTCATAACCTGGTGCACAGGGCTGCTCGGAGCTCTAACAGGTAGCCGATGGGACCCTGAATTTAAAGTACAAAGAACAGGTTGGCTCCATCCAACACTAGGGCCCATATCACTGCCTCTCCTAGTGGGTGTTAATCTCACAGGCTTCAAAGGGCAAGTGCATCTCTATTCCCAAGCATGGGGACAAGGAATCGGAGGGACAGGCAAGTGGAAAGTGGGAGCAGAGCCATTGTGAGAGAGGCCCTGGGGAGTGAAAACTAGCTTGCACGCATGCATACATGCACACACCATGTATTAGTTAGCACCCCTTTTCCCCAGGCCCTCAGAAAGCACTGAAGGGACAGCTGCCACCACTTGGAGAAACTGAGACAGGGTATCCCTGGTTTGTATTCTTTGATGTCTGGTGTCATTTGGTCCTTCAAATGGCATTTCCCTTGAGACAGCCCAGCCATCTTGTTGGGGTACATTTGACAGAAGAAGCATTTGGGATTCAAGAAGAGAAACAGCCATGACTCATGTAGTACATACACTCAGTGGTCCCAGCTGGTCAGCTTTACTCCAGCCATTCTCTCCTGAGAGCCTGGAGGAGCACTCTTCTTTTCTCTGGATTCAGGAAGCAAGGACAAAAGGGGTGAAGTGCCTGGCCCACAACACACAGGACCTACATGGTATGCTGTCTGTGACTGTTTGGACTCTGGTGCTGTTGACCAGGATCCACTGAAAAGCTTTCACAACAAGAGTAGGTGGCGCCGAGTACCCTCTTGCTAGGACAGGGCTTGAGAGCACTTTGAGGAAGGCTCTCTCTTCTCTATAGCAGTTCCACTGGCCTGCGTCTTCCTCTCTAGTTTCTGATTCTGTCATATGAAGCCAGTGAGCCAGAACACAGGCCTGGAAAGGATCTGCTTCTCAGTGATGAGGAAAACAAGATTTGTCCAGAAGTCACTGGGCCATGAGTCAGGGCTATTGTGAAAAGAATGTTGAACACAGAGATTAGAAAACACTGGGCACAGCAGGGGCTGTTGAGGCTTTAGTTGCTACTTTGCCCCTTCCTGTCCAGCTACCTGCTCAGGTCTATAGAGAAGGGAGATACACTGGCTCTCACTGGAGCCTCGCTGTCTGACACAGAGAGGGTCTAACTCAAGACCCTTTCTTTCTAACCAAGAATGGCTGCAGAGCAAAGAACTCAGGATAAAAACAGCCTAGGCCTGGAGGGTGGGAATCCCTGAGAGGTGAGGGATGAAGGAGGGTAAAGATGAACAATAAAGTGGAGATGAATCTGCCCACCTCCTGCATGAGGTGGGTGCTAACTCCCAGGAGGCAGAGTCGAGAACAGCAAGGAGCCAAATGGAGACATGATTGAAAGGCTAGAGAGATGGATCAAGTTCATGAGACACTGATTCCAACACTGAGAAGTTCTACCCATAGCAAAGGAAACCATGGGGAAAAGGACTTAGATTCTGAGCCATTTTTCCTCATTGGAGGCATTTGCTCGTGAGTAAATTGTACAGGTTCATAGTTTAAGAAGCATGAAACAGCAATTGAGAAACTAAAACGCTGAGCTTTAAGCTCTAGCCATTGTACTAGCTACCCCCCCTTTTTTTCTAATGACTGACAGCATACCAACCAGGAACAACCTTGAGGGAGGTTGGATCTACTTTGACTTATGATTTCAGAGTGTATCAGTTCATGATGGAAGGTAAAGCATGTCAGGCTGACTACTTGTGTCTGTAGCCGGGGGGTCGGGAGAGTTACATAGCAATGACATACTCTTGGTGGATGGGGAGGCAATGTTCAGGCTAGAAGCAAGAAACACAGACAAATGATATCAAACCCCCTGTAGCCTACAGGGAGCCTGAGAGGCATATGACAGAAGTGTGGAGAGAAAAGCAGTTTCCATAGCAAGGTCACCAAGTTTCATCTTTCTTTCTTCCTCCTTTCTATACAGATGTTCAGCAACCTCTGTACCTTCCAGATGTCCTTTAAGTCCCCATTCCTGGTAACAGCCTAGAAGACACAAAGCTCTAGTTAAGGATTCTCTTGAGCCACACTTTCTGGGTGGCCGAGAAGCCTCACATCCATCGTGCACCAAGACCCTTTTTCAGGACGTCCTGGGGTTCACCCAGGCTAAGGATTAACTAAGTAACCTTGATCCCTTTTGAGTGGGGGAGAACATTGCTCTTTCCGGGCTTCCCTAACTTGTCATCAAGCCACATTCTTGACTTTGTTTGGGGTTGCAGAAGAGGGAGACCACACCGTTTACTAAGAGGAATACAATACAGCCAAGACCGCATCGCACAGACTGCCCTCAGTGTGCCACACACAGATGTCCAGAGCACAGATGTAAGTGTATCTCTCGACAGACTGAAGATTGCCCTGGCTGCCACTGAGGCCTCCCTGCAGAATCCCTTTCCTGCCTCCTGGTACTGCATCTCTGGGATTTCTCTCGTGTTTCTATTCAGCCCTAGCCAGGCTCTCCTCTCTTCCACCCTCCCATCAACACAGAGGTCCCAGCACAAGATAGAGATGATGAACATGAGGAAGAGGACCCTCAAGTGGATCACCTTCTTTCTGCTCTTCATCTTCCTCACTTCCTTTGTCCTGAACTACTCAAGCACGGGAGTGCCCGCTGCCTGGTTCTCCAAGCAGATGGTCCAGGAACTCTCACAGAACTTCCGAAAGTTCATCAAGTCACAACCGTGTACCTGCGCACACTGCATCAGCCAGGGCAAGGTCTCGTACTGGTTTGATCAGCGCTTCAACAAGACCATGCAGCCACTGCTGACAGCCCAAAATGCTCTGATGGAGGAGGACACATACCAGTGGTGGCTGGTAAGCAGAATAGGGTCCGGGGATGGGGTTGGGGGTGGGGAAGACCTGAGGACCCTTTGCCAAGCACCTGGTTGTATTCAGAGCATCATTTTTCTCTCAGTCTTCCCTTCACTCAGCAACTATTTGTTGAGCATCTATTATGTATATGTCACAGAAAAACTCTACTGCTTTTCCTTCCTACCGCTTCCATAACAGAGCACCATGCGCCTGGTGGCTTAGGACTTCAGAAGTGATCACACATCACCGTCCTGGAGGACAAGAGTCCACCCCCACCATGCCTCTCTCCTGCTACTGCTGCTGCTCACCACTTGTGGCACCCCTTGACCCATGTCTGTAGCACCCAGTCTCTGTGCCCCCCTTTCCAAGGTTTCCCTGTGTCTCTGATGTCTGCTCTTGGGAAGGGTGTATAGCCTTGGCTCTAGAGTGTACATGGAATCCAGGCTGGTCTTACCTGCCAGCAGTAGCAAAACTAGATCTTAGTGGGTGATGCAAATAAGGAATGCAGTAAAGACAGTTCTCTGGGTCTGGGGATTGGCCTTGACCCCTTCTTATGTGCCCAAAGGTCAGCTAAAGTCCTGGTCTCACACATAGTAGGTGCCCAGAGGGTACATATAGAATGAATAAATGAGCTTTCTTCCTGTCTTTGGTCTTGAGAAAGGGGTGGCTGTCACTAACCACCTATGCCTTCACACTTAGCTGGGTCTGATGGACAGGGAGCCAACCTGCCCAGACAGTGGAGCCAAGCTGGCTATTCATTCTGTTTTCTGCCCCAGAGGCTCCAGCGGGAGAGGAAGCCCAGCAACCTGAGTGACACCATCAAGGAACTGTTCCGTGTGGTACCCGGGAATGTGGACCCCATGCTGGACAAGAGGTCGGTTGGTTGCCGACGCTGTGCAGTCGTGGGCAACTCTGGTAACCTGAAGGACTCTTCGTATGGACCTGAGATTGACAGTCATGACTTTGTTCTGAGGTAAGCATTAGTTCCTCAGTCAACCCGAGTCTAGAGAGCCTCAGGGATGGGTGGAACACCTTGGCTCAGCTCAGAAGGCCAAGGTTCAAGGCCTGGGGCCCCAGTACTGACCGACCTCTGAGTCTCAGTCTCTTCATCTTTCTCTAGCGAGGTGGCATCCAATAAGGAAGCTTTTGCTAGAGATTTTCAATGTGCTGGGGACTTTGTACCAAAGGCCTGTTGAGTGGGCAAAACTCACTTGAAGCTTCTGTTTCTATGGCTCAAATCCACCCCCAGCTTTCGATCTGGACCATGATCCAGAAGCTTTTAATGTCAACTTTGCTTCCTTTGTCCCCAAGTGAAATTGGCATCTCAGGAAAAAGCACCACGCCTTCCTGGAGTTTTTCATAGTCCCTACTCAGAAGTGTTCTGGGACAGAGAGCATAATTAGAGGTGGGACTCAGCATCCCCCCAGATAACTTCTAGATTGTAGAGGGTTCTAAAACCTAGAATAACCTTGTTTCTGTGTCTTTGACTTGATGTCCATAGGCCCCTTTCCTGGCTTTCAGTGTAGTTAGTATCCTACAGGAATGACCATGATAAGAAGCAGAGTCAGGTTCAGGGTCAGGCAGCCCTGTGTTTAAAGCTGTGTAGTTTGATAGACAGCTTGTCTGAGCTCGGGATAATAAAAAGGGCATACCTACTAGGTGCAGTTACCCATGGCACAGGTGGTCGATGTAGGAGAGCAAGACCCATCCAACTTGCTTTCATAATAAATAAATAAATAAATAAATACCTACATACATAAATCAGACAGACAGCCTTGGCCTCTGTTTTGCTGAGATAGACATGGAATTTGACCTTGTGCATTCTAGGCAAGCTGCCTTTCCCTGACTGAATTGCTTCCCACAATTCCAAATGAGTTGCTCGGGCTGGCCTTGAACTTGCCATCCTCCAGGCTTAGCCTCCCAAGTAGCTGGGATTTTAGACCTGCTCTCCCAGGACTATCTGGCCTGTGTCTATAATGTTCCCATTGTGCATGTGAAGAAACTGAAGCCTAGGGGACAAAGGAGTTCACCTGTGACTACCACACGGGTGCCTCCAACTCCAGCATCCTTGTCATGTGTCCTGTTCTTCTCCCCTCACAGGATGAACAGGGCACCCACGGTGGGCTTTGAGGCAGATGTTGGGAGGAGGACCACCCATCACCTTGTGTATCCTGAAAGTTTCCGGGAGCTGGGAGAGAATGTCAGCATGGTCCTGGTCCCCTTCAAGACCACCGACCTCCAGTGGGTGGTCAGTGCCACCACTACGGGAACCATCACTCAGTGAGTTTCTCTAGTGTCTACCCTGTGGCCCTCTGTCTCCTACCACGGCTCACTCCTGCTGGGATGTGTCTTAGGATGTCATTTCCCCATGCCTCCTGGTACATATGTGACCGCTCCTGCCACCTCCCTGATTGGTCCTACCTTACTGGTGACGTCCCGTCCCCTCCTAGCACTGGTACCCCAAAGTTATACTACTTATGTTTTAGACTCTGTGGTTTGCTCCCCCAACCTCTCTGGAAAGTACTCAGCGTGTGGTAGCGCCATGCTAATCCTCAGGGCTGAATACCCTTGTTGTGGTAGTTCCATGTCCATCCTTAGTGCTGAGAACCCTTTGCTAGTAGACTGCAGCATAGAACTGGCAGGGGCTGCTGAGCACATACTTTGTAGATAAGTCAACATTGGCTCTCCGGGAGTAAGTGCTGCCATCTGCTCCCCAGGCATGGCGCCTATCATTTGAAACTTGGCATCTCGTCTGGTCCTCACAGCACAGCTTCTCATTAGCTCTGGCCTCCAGGGAGCAACCATGGCTGGGCCAAACCACTTGCCCAACACTGAACTTGACCCAGAGCCCATGCAACCATCTGGGTCTAATTCCTCAGTCCCTGACTTTTCTCGAAGGGGAGTGGCTTTCATTTCCAGATGTCCACATAACTCCTAGTCCTAACTCAGGTCTCTCAGGAGCAGAGCCAAGAACTGCGGGTTCCAGGAACTCTGAGCCTCCAGGGGACAGAGTGTGAGGGAAGGGCTCAGCAAGAGGTTGGGCCGGGCAGCTGGCTCAAGGTGGTCCCCTGGTAACCCAGCCACACAGAAAGCCAAAATTGAACCAATACATTTCATTTGGTAGCAGATTTTACACCTTGATGCCGCAGCCCATGTCTGCTCATGTGAGCTGGAGACTGCCATAAGTCACCCCTATCAGTTCGCCAGCACCAGCCTGAGCCCTGCTAATTGGGCACAGAGGGAGACAAATATCACTAGGCTCCTGAAAGGCTGTGCTTCTGCCGAGTCCCCATTCTGGCTTGTCTAACCATAGGACATTCTCAAATCAGCCGAGGCGCCCTCTGGTGTCACTCTGCAGCTGCTGTAGAAGGAGCTATGCTGGGCAGGAAGGTGGCATCTGAGAGCCTAAGCCTCCTTACCGTTGTCATTCTGGCTGTGTCACGCCCCAGCTTCCGGTCCCTTTCCACATTAAATCCCTCCTCTTTCCCATCCGCAGCACTTATGTACCCGTGCCTCCGAAGATCAAAGTGAAACAGGAGAAGGTAAGAGGGAGTTTGGGAACTTGTAACTTGGCTGTGATTTCTTTTCCAAAATTTTGGGCTGTGATGACCAAGTTACACCCGGTGCCCAGACCCCGTCCTGGTGCGGTTGCTGGCACCTGTGGAGCCTCACTGCTAAGGTCAGGTCCCCAAAGTGGGCCACTGGAACAGCACTATCATCTGAGAGGTTGTCATAGAGTGACTCTTTAGGAGTACCCAAACATACTACAGCCAAGCCAGGGTAGCACCCAGTCATCCAACTCTTGCAACACCTACAGTGTCAGAGAAATGTAGGCTGAGGCTTTTTTATGGTTCCCGGGAGCTTCTCAAAGCCAGACTCACCTCTTTTTCTTCACACCCCATTATTTCTAGTAGGCCCCTGTACTGCACCGACCCAGACTTCGGCAAAAGCAAGAAGGTGTGTGAAAAAGCCACCATACTGGATTTTTGTATATACTGTTGTACTTCAGTAGGCTCAGGGGGGCCAGTAACTTGTCCAGGGATATAGTCTAGATCATGCTAGGGCTGGATGAAGTACCCCTGTACTTGCATCATGTTCTCCTTTGGCCTTGGACATCACAATCCCAGAAAAAAAGCCACAGGCATCTTGTTGGATGGGTCTCTTTGCTAAGACCCTAATTCCCTGAAGCAAAGCTGAGAAGACAAGATCCCTCCAGAGACCTATAAACCAATCATTTCAGCCCTTCCCTAAGGGACAGTGTAAGGCTGCCTAGCCCTTTCTTTGCTGCTTCCAAAGTCTCCTTCACTGTCCCCAAGGGAAGGGATGAGGCCAATGCCATGCCTGGCACAGGCAGACAACCTAGCTGTGTAACACTGAATGTGTTGCTTAGCCTCTCTGAGCCTTGGTGTCTTCACATCAAGAAAGGAAAGCCAAAGTATATAGTTCACCTCAGGTCAGAGATCCCAGCCAATGCCAGGCAGAACAGGTGGCCCATGGGTATGTTTTTACTGCAGTGAGACGGTCATGATCCATCCTCACACTTCTTGGAGCACTTCTGGAGCTTTGGGTCATACTCCCTGCCACAATAGGATTTTCATTTTAACAGCCTTGTCTCCTCAAAGCTTCCTTCAGTACTATGAAGCTGTTTCATGCTGATTCTTGCCTGTGAGCCATGACACTCTTCAGCCCTACCTTTCAACAATGCAGGCTATCTATAGCATCCCCAGCACTAAGTCCATAAATGCAAGGGTGTTTGTCAGAGCCCTTCATTACCACGTTCTTATGGCCACAGGAGTATAGCACCCACTAGATGCTCTGTGTCTTTTTCTGGCTATACTCTCCCAGTCCATTCTCCCTGCAGATCCTGATCTACCACCCAGCCTTCATCAAGTACGTCTTTGACAGCTGGCTTCAGGGCCACGGGCGGTACCCATCAACTGGCATCCTCTCAGTCATCTTCTCCATTCATGTCTGTGATGAGGTAAGCCAGCCTACCTTCCTGCAGGTTGCAGGGACAAGGGCTACCACTCATGTATCCAGGGTCGTCTAGGGTAGGGGAGAGGACAGAAGACAGTTTCCAACCATGTCTCTCTCTGGGTCTCTGACACATGTCTCACCAGGCATGTGTAAGAGTGGCAACAGAATGATATCATTCTCAAGAGCAGGATTTCTAAAACATTCCAGTGAGGGTGGCTAGGCCCCGCTTCAACTCAAAAATGAAGAAGCAGGCTCTAAACAGCTTAGACAGAGAGTTACCACCCCCATGTTAGGGCCACCCAGGGAACCACACGCTGACCCTCTTCATCAGACTTTCTAGGAAATCAACCAGGCCTATGGGACTTCCACTAACCATCATCTGTGAGATCCAGAGTGGGACTTCAGAGGCACTGTTCCCATCTCTTATCTCCAATCTCACCCAACGATCCCTGCCCCAAGGCAAGTCTGTGCTGTCCATGCTCTGTTGTGCACAACCCTCTCTAGCTCCAATCTATACCCTACCACACAGCTAGATGGTATATCTGAGTCACTCATTTAATGCTCATCTGAATGACTCCTTATTGGTCACCATCTACTCAACTTGGATGTCTGCTGCTTGAAAGAGCCTCCTATCACCTTGGGTCTATGGCCTCTCCTCGGTGCTCTGGGAGCCCTGAATTTAACCCATGTCTCTCTAAGTGACATTCTATCCATGAATGCCATAAGTTGTAAAGGTTGAAACCTGATGGGTAGTGTCCCTAATGTCCCCAGTACCTGCCAGATGCCAACTGAGGAAAGTAGGCCTTGTTAACGCGTTAGCTCCACAATAAGTAGCCAGTGGTGTTTTTCATGTGTGTGCGGGCTCCAGCCTCAGATGTTGGCCTCAAAAGGAAAGTTTTAGAACTTGTCCCCCAACTTCTGTGTTCATGCCTCTTAGCATCCTTTCCAGATGAGGAATTGAGGTTCTGCAATGATTTGATGAATCAAGAGTCAGCTTGGGTGAGGGATGGTTTGCCTACCTTCCACGTCCCTTTTCCCCACCTTCTCTTCAGGACTCCTTGGGAATCCAGTGGAGGCCCTGCCTCCTTCAGGACCACCTACCTGAGGTCATCCCAAGGTGCCTTTTGGCTGGAGTCAAACTTGAGCCTTACTTGGCTTGCTTTGCCTTTCTGAAGAAGGTTTCTCTGAATCATGGATATTTACCATAAAATGTCAGAGACAACCACAGACTACATTTCCTGCTTCCTTCACCCCCTTTACTATGGTCATACTATCTGGGTCTTACCTTGGCTTTACCCCACAGGTGGACTTGTATGGCTTTGGGGCAGACAGCAAAGGAAATTGGCACCATTACTGGGAAAACAACCCATCAGCGGGTGCATTCCGAAAGACAGGGGTTCACGACGGCGACTTCGAGTACAATGTCACAGCTACCCTGGCAGCCATCAACAAAATCCGCATCTTCAAGGGGAGATGATGCTGCGACCAATTAAGGATGGACACAACACAACACACCTCTCAACTTGCAGCCCCAGCATCTCACTGGAGCCAGTCTGTTCCAGAAGCTTCCAGGGCTGAACTTAGGGTGTTCCCAGGCTTTCTGGAAGCCTCCTGCACCCTCATTTTGGTTGCATCTATTTAGCAAAGTTGTCTAACTTTCCCAGGGTATGGAGCAAGTCTCAGGCCCATCTAAGATGGGAGCACTTCTCCACTGCTATCCCCTAGCAGGGGGAAAGTGAGCAGATATTAATGACAATCTAACCTCCAAACAATGACAGTTATTTTGTCTTGTGGGTTAGAGGGTGGGGATGGGGAAAATAAATCCTGAAGATCCCTGTGTTCAAAGGTAGACATTTCCAGGAAGTCATAAAGAGGTTGCCACTGAACTATGGGCCTTGTGCTCAACTCAGACTTAAGCTGGAATGTTTAGGGCAGTCATTTCCAGAGCAGAGCCACAATGGGCTACACCAGCACTGGGGCAAGATACTGTTCTCTTTTGCATGAAGCCTGGTCTGTCACTTGATATGACATCCCCTTTCTTCAAAAAGCTGGGTAAAGCTTCTGACTCCAGAGGTCTTCTGTAGAAACCTGGTCATGTGTTGCTGACAGGAGTGCAGCCCTCGTGACCATTATGTGTGATCCCCCTCCACAGTGATATTGATGGACAGAACAGGTCTGAGTACTTCCACGTGCCTTTGAACTTGAGAAAGAAATGCATGCGTTGGCTGACATGAAGCAAAATCCCCAAATGGAGAAAGGGGACCTCCACCAGCACCACACTTTGCTGCATAGCTCAGAATCTCTTTTCCGATGATACATCATACCACTCAGAGTATACCAGGCATGGGATGTGTGCTCACTTCTAGTTCCTCAGACTGGTGGCTTCAGGACTGCTAACAACCAGCATCCTCCCCTGGGTCCTGAGCCAAGTCTCTAGCAGACACCATCCTGGAGTCCTTTGGGATTACAGTGGGGACATTCTAGGACTACAACTGAAAACTGAAATGCATGTACCTCCTCTCAGTCCTGCTTGCTCTCCTCACCTCCCTCGACAGAAACCCTAATTATTTATTGCTTTGTTAAGTCAGCTGACCCTGTGCACACTCTTCCCCATTGCTGCTCACAGAACTTTTGTTGCTTTGCCTGGCTTGTGGGAGCAGGAACGGAAAGGAAAGGCTCTATGCATCCTGGATGTGTGTGTTGAGACAGCTGCACTGGGGGCTTGCTGGTAGGCAGATCCTATGGCACTGACAATCCTTTGTAGAATTCATGTCACCGCCTTTCTAGTACAACTGCCTTGTTTTCTTCCTCATTGCAGAAGGGAAGCACACAGGCTGGGACCTCTCATCCCACTGCTGACTCTTTGGTGAGGGAATTGAAACAAGGGAAAACAGGCACATGGCAGTAACTGTCACCCCTTTACAGATGTTCGATAAGAAAAACCTCTGTTTCTGTTGAAAGTGTTCCTTAAAGACCACTGCACCTTCATCAAGGCTGAATATGGGAGAGGTATCTTGAGGGTTGGGAGAGCTCCCCCTGCTCAGGTTCCCCTCTGCAAGAAAGAGCTCAGGGGCCACACTCAGCTTTGGGCCATTCACAAGCATCACCAAAGAACAGATAACAAAATTGCCTTTTTCCAGGAGTCTCTCCTGTGAGTGGCTTTGGTGTAGCTTTTGTTCAATTCTCAGGCTCAAAATTCAGGCTTTTAATGAGGGAACAGCATTTTTCACTTTTAAAATCGCTTTGACATAATATTCTTGGCTGAAAAATCTGGACTCCTGTGAGGTCCTTGCTCTGGAGAAGCATTCTCAAAGGTCCGAGTGTGAGGAACTTAGCAGATGTTTGTGAGTCAGAAGGCCAATCCCTAGGACAAGTCAAAATTAGTGGACATCGGCATAGGGGTAGCAGTTCAGGTGTAGCTGGGTTTTGCTGCATGAGAACAAGTGCCTGCAGTGAGAGCGTAGCCATTTCTAGCTGAGTGCTGCTCAGGAAGCTCCTCTGGTCTTCCCTCCCTCTCTGCCTTCCTCTGCCCCTCCCTCTGTCCCTCCTCCAGCCAAGGAGCCAGCATTTCTCCTTCCATAACCCCCATCCTTCCTGTATTTCACTGGCTGAGCAGGGGCTTCTTAACTGAATAAAACAAAGTCAGTTTTGGCCAGAATTAAGTGCATCAATTAGTTTAAGGTGATTGAAGCTTTCTTCAAGAATGGGTGGCTGAGAATAAGAAGGGTCTTTCCCAAAGACACTAGTATGACTGCCGACAAAAGAGTTGGCCTGAGCTTCAGGGAGAGAGCAAAGGGCTGGCTTTCAGGGCACCAGAAGCTGCTAAGTCCAAGAGAATGAGGGGCTGTCTCAAGAGAACCCCAGAATACTAAACTGCAGGTGATGTTTCTTGTATTGGTGGCAGGCTTCCCGGGCCCTCAGGCACTGTTAGGGAAGAGGGAGAAGCAGATCTGTAGCCTTTAGTTCCTGCAAGAGGCAAGCTGGAGAGAAAAATCTGAAGTCTGGTGCCTTTAGGTTGGCTTTTAGGCAGCCAATAAACCACATGGGCAGAGCTAGTGGAACAGACTCAAGAAAGTGATAGACTAGGGAGGCCAGCAACTAGCTAGGGCTGTGAAGGTCTGGAGATTGCTTTAGGGGAAAAGACCATAGAGCACAGGTCATGCCGCAGTGTTCATCATGGCCACATGGGGTCGCTAGCGGCTCGTTGCACCTCCTGGGAATGAGGCCTCAGTGGCTGTTGAGAACCCAGAGGTTGGTTTTAAGGGTGCCCTTCAAAGTAACTCCTGACATGCAGGGTAGGGGAGGCCCTGGGTGCTTCACCAGAGGATACAGTGACGGCTGTATACACTCAGGAGATGACAGCTAGAGCCACGGGTTCCACCAGAGATAGCCAGGTGGCTATGAGGTGAGAAAGACTGGCCCTGTGCTACGTAGCCACCATGGCCTGGCTAGCCAGTTTTGAGATGGCATCAGCCTCTCCCTTGTTTGTCACCCTCTCCTGTGCCCCAGGTGCTACCTAATACCTGTAAGAAACACAGAGGGTGAAGAAAGAAAGCAGAGACCAGCAGAGCAGCGCCCCATGCCTTCAGCCTCAGAATATAGTGACTGCATTATTACCCAAACAGTATGTAGGCAGGCCCATCCTGGAGCTTGCTTCCGCCTGCTGGTTTCCTTCCATTTAGGGAAGGACCCCATCTTTACCTCCCTGACCTCTCTGCTCACTTAGCTTTTACCTTGGTTCCTCCTGCCCAGGGTCAGCCAATGGCACCTGCTTTAACTCCTAACCTGAATCTTGTTCACCAGGTGAGCACGGATGGACATGGGTCTTGCCTGCACCCCCATACCGTGCATAATTACCTAACCCTTTCCTCAGAGCCTGGTAGAGGATCCCTCCTGGACCTCCAGACCCCTGCACAATCACTTTAGCCCTTTCCGAGGTCCCCTTCAGAGCCAAAGTTCTCCAAGCACTTTTCCCCCAAAAGCTTCTCCTTCCCTGTCTCCTGTGCCCCCAGTGTTGCCCACTTAAACTTTGCTTTCTTCTGCCCACATGTCATTATCTTCCTGATCGGTCTGAATGTGTTCCCAATGATGTTAGTGAGTCTGCCTTTCTCAGCCCCTGCTCTGTTTTATTTATTGTTGAATATTTTCAATGATCCGAATCAAAGTGAATAAAAAGAGCTATTTTATTGTTTGGGTGTGTTCGGAGTTCTGCTTTGGTGAAGTTTCTATTCAAGGGGTCTGTTCAGTCCTGAAATGGCTGGATGCGTCATCTCCTAGGATCCCCTGGGAAGTTGTGCTCCCCACTGGGAGGGGGCTCAGGAGACAGAGTGGAGCCATTCCCTGATGTGTGACTGTGGTGAGTTACCTAACCTCCCTGAACCTCTACTCCAGTTCATCTGATGGACTTGACCTTGCCAATCTTCAGAGGGGGCCGAAATCAGAAACAAAACATCCCAGGAGGTGCAAACGGACCCAGAGCCAGTGGCTCTGATGTTGACTGGCTGCGGCCCAGTGTACACAGAGAAGACCGCCACACCCTGGGAGGAACACAGGCCAGGTCTGAATGACACAACCACGCTTGCTTAGATTTTTAAAGAAATATTTCCGGAAGCCTTATGTTGGAACTTTGCCATGCACCACTGTCGTGTGCCTGTGAACCTTCCCTGATGATTGGCACAGCACTTTATAGTTTATATGCCACCTTGCTTGCCCTGGTTGGTCTTCTAACACGGCTCACCACAGGTGGTGAGCAGGAGAAGGCAATGGTGGGCGTAGATTCCTGGTCCATCCTGCTGCCCCACCACTGAATTCACGACACATTCCAAAGCCAGTCCAAGACAACATGTTCAGATGTCTCTACTGACAGATGTGGCCCTAGAGCAGGTCAGGGTTAGAGTTAGCACCGGTAATGGGAATAGCCTGGAACCCAGCACTGGACCAAGGAATTTCAACAAGACCAGGAAGGGTGGCCAGGACCCAGCCCTGTCTGACCTTACCTCACTCCCTGTGTATCCATCCCTGCCTCCTATCTTCAGTGAGGGCTTCACCATGTATCTTCTCCAGGAGGCTTCTTGATCTCCAGAATTCCTTTTCTTCTATCACGTCTGTTTGTTTCTTCACCAGAGGCCACGCTCATTCATTATCAAAATACACAATATACAGACAAACTGCACAATACAGCATACGTACATGAAAACACACAATACACTACATATACACAGTGCACACAGACACAGCACGTATTGTGCACATCACACAAACACTCAGTCAACCCACACCTCACACATAAAACATAAACACACATCGTAACACAACACACACACTGCACATAAACAGGACACCCAACCCACCATGCACAACACACATACATACTTACAAACACACCACATACATGCATCATACCATACCAAAACACCACCTACAACACTCCATCAGAGACCCAGTTCCCTTAGACTAGCTTGTGGTTTCAGATGCACAATGGACAAGCAGCCACAGGGTGGCAGCATGTAGCCATTCCCTGAGGAACCATGCCTGGCTTCCTTCCTTTGTCCCAGGTACATCACCCAGTGCCAGGTCTCAGGCCTGAGTTACTGCAATGTACATTAGCTAAAAAGCACTAAGGTTCTAAAGACATTTCCTCGGGACTTTCCTGTCACCTCCTGCATACAGTGGCCTTAGACAGCATCCAGCCCCCTGGACATCTGACCCGTGAGTGTCTTGGAGAAGTCCAGAGAGCCCTCCAGGCTGCTCCTGTGTTTAATACAAGGTTTTTCAGCATCACTGGATTTTGAGATCATTAGTGCTAGAGCAAGTCCCCTATTGATACACAGGAATAACTGTGTCCTCAGAGGCCTGTCCTGTGCCAAGTGGCAGTGGACTTTAGATACCTAATACACCTGTGCTGGGGGAACTAAGCTGGGGCTGCTGGGGAGGAGTTGGACTCTGCTTCAGCCTCATTTATACACCAAAGGTACCTCTGAGGATCCGGCACAGGCACTTCTACCACCATATGGATTTCTTTCCCCTCATGGACTGCCCAAAGCCTGCCAGAGAGTAAAGTGAATCTTCTTCCATGTGTCATGCTAAATTCCTCCTAGTTCTAGGACATCTCTCAGAGGCTGCTTGTTACTGGTTCTCACACCTAGTGTTTTGCAAACTTTCAGCTTCGGTGCTGCAGACTAAGGTATGAACACACACATACATACATACAGAGAGAGAGCGAGAGAGAGAGCCCGTAATAAAACTCCAATCCAATTCTATGTGGCTCCTTGTGGTATTTGGTGATCAGGCCTTTGGGAGACAATTCAAGTTGAATTGTCTCAATTCAAGACAATTCAAGAGAAAGGGGTTGGGGACAGATTTAATGGTGGGGTTGTGTCCTTATAACAAGAAACAAAGAGACAGTGAATATCAGTGTTCTGCCTTTCTTTTCCCTCCTCCTCTTCATCTCTATCATTCTCCCTTTCTCTCTAACTCCACCATGTAAAATCACAGGCACCTATAAACCAAGACAACCCTCACCAGAACCCACCCTAATTGCAGTTTTCTAGCCTCCAGAACAAAACAATTAAATCTCTGCTGTTGAGACATATAGTAAGTGGGATTGGACCTGTGGTCCCAAGGTTCTCAAGGAAGCCCCACCCTATGCAGCAATTCTACAAAGTGGAGCGTCCTATTCTTCTCTTCCCACCTCATGCTGGCCACTCTCCAGCTGGCCTGACCACTGTGGATAAGGTACTACCATGAAGCTAGACAAACCTTTCAAATGGTCAAGATGAAGCAGAGGACCTTCCATAGCTCCTTGCACTGCTAAGCCTTATGCTCTAGTCTGTAGCAAGAAGAGGCATGCTTATCCTCCTCAGTCAGCTTCTCCATCACCTCAGAGGTGGCCCTGAAGCAGAGTGAAGGATCTGAGTCCCCGCTCTGTGATCGCAGGAGTGGGGCCTAGGCAGGCTGCAGGCCCTGAAGCCCTGAGTCTGGATCACAGCTGCCTCCAGGTAAGGGAGCGATCTGAGGAGGGACATCCATGCAGGGAATAGAAGAAAGAGCTAGAGAGGGCACCAGTCCCCAGGGATGTGTGTGAATGAAGTGGGACATGGAGAACGACAGTGTAAAGGTTTGAGCTGAGTCAGATCACACCGACCCACCTGCAGCTCACCAGCAAAAGGGAACACACACAGCCAGGTGTTGGGGTCAGGCTGCTGAGGCGAAGTGGCTGGGTTGCCTAAGGCAACCCACAAAGACAGGGCGAGAAGCACTCCTACGGGAAAGTGGTGCTTTTCTGGGTGGTGTCATTGGATGATAAAAAGATGAAAAAGTGCAGAGGACAGAGCTGTGCATCCCCCAGACACTGCAGTTGCGTGCCACAGTCAGAGCCAAGCTGTTTCCTCTCAGCTCCTCATCAGCTCAGCACAGGTATACTCCTGGCCAGTGGCAGACCTAACACAAAAGATTTTGGTGTCTGCTTTGAGCTCTCAGATCAGCGTTGCATGAATACTGTTGAAATGGATCTTCTGTGGGCTGAGAGATTCTCAGCCTCAAGCTCTTAGGTCCATCCTCCTCTGGTGTCCTCGTGGCTACCCCTGAACTCTTGAGATATTCTTTCCTCTGTATTAGCTAGTCCAACATTTGGACTAGCTTTATGGAAGCATTGTCCCAAGCAAGGAGCTCAAGTTGGTCTGGGCCTACCTGTAGATGGAGCGTTTCTTCCCCCAAGAGGAAATGTGGTTGGACCAAGGGTATCCATGGGTCCTGGGAGTCAAAGGGCTGCATCTAGAGACAGGACTTCTATAGAGTAAGAGGAATCCCACAGTTTGTACCGCGAACAAATGCAGGCTTAGTATTTGCTTCATGTAACACAAGAACATCAAGGGCAATGGCCAGTGGAGGTGGCTGTGGGCAACACAAGGACTCTGCCATGACAAGGTTGGAAGCACAGTAGGAGGAAGATAACCAGACAACAGTCACACCTATAAAAATAAAGTGTCATTGTTTACAGCCTCTTCATACCCATCAGTTTGACGACGCATAGCACCTTGAAGAAGAGAAGCAAGCTCAGGGAGACTTGGAAGTTGAGTCAGAGGGTGGAGCCAGCAAGCACATCAAAAGTGAGGGCTGGGCACTGTGTCCTGAACACTGAGTATGACGTTTGGGACACGGGGGACAAGGACTCTAGGTGATGTTCCTAGCAGAACTCTAGGCAGGAGCCATACACACTGGTTTTCGGCAGTAAAGCAGGCCCAGCCCATGGCTGCTCAGATCTTTCTGACCTTGCATTAGAACACCAGTGGTGGCGGTCACCAGAGGGTGCAACAGAGCCACCTTTGTCAGGATTGCATCTGCTGAGTTTAGCTTTTGAAATCCACAGGAGAAAAGGCCTGGGAACAAATTCAGACCTTCAAAGGACTTTGCCTTACACGTGAGCAAGCCAAACACCTTTCAGATAAGATCACTATCTCTGTCACTAAACTAAGTAAACTAGTCAAGAAAATAGGTCTGGGCCCAGTAGGAGAAAAGCCACCTAGCCCATGTGAACAAGGTAAGTATTTTGTGGTATCCTTTTTCCACGGGTCCCTGAAACCTAAGTTCACTGGGACCACCGGACATGGAATTTTTTCTTGACTCTCCATTATTTCTGAACTGTATGCCTATGAGATAGCCTGACCTCTCTGAACCTTGGTTTATTAATCTGTAAAAGGGTATTATTACATGGCATGGTAGACATGAAGCAATGTGCCAGCCATTTTCTGAGGTTTTCTATGTGTTTAACATTTATCATGTTTCTCCCTGAATTCTCCCAAGAGATTGGGATGGCAGTGATATCCTCACAGAGTGCCCAAGATGGTAATGACATTTGCCTGTGGTCACACTGTTCATAACTACTCAGCCAAGAAAAAAGAACCAGAGCTTATTATGTATCTGTCAGGCTGTGACAGGCTAATGCTGGGAAAACAAATAAGCTCCAAGTCCCACTAACTTAGAACAACAAGGCTAATTTCTTCTTGGGGCAGTTTCAGGGGTTTTGTGTCTTCCCCCATGTGTTGACCCAACCTGCCCTGTATATTTTTTCTCATGAAAGACATTACCAACTTCACTTTCAGCACATAGACCTCAAGGTCACTGCACAAGAAGCTGGTGATGGCTCATAAATTCTCAAATGTCTCCAGTTAGATCTGATACCCATCACTTCCA